AAAAAAAAAAAAACTTTAAAAAAAAAAAAAAAAAAAAAAAAAAAAAAAAGCTCCAGAAGAGAAGAACATCTCTTTCTGTCCTGCAGTTCTCTCTCACCTCCTCAGTCTCCACTCAACTGTTTTTTGTTTTTTTGTTCTTTCTGGTTCTGTAAATGGTCCGGGTCGCAGGCGGGTCTATTCTCCAGGAGTCTCAAATTTCCTCATTCCATACTTGTCCCTGTTCAGTCCCTCAGTTTTGTTCTTCGATATAACAAAACCACAAACAAACCTACTGCTCTTTATCAGCTGGGAAGCTTATCTGTGGGACACATGCCTTGAGTATGAAGATAGTCATCAAGGTCATGAGACAACCCATCCTCACTGACCATCTGGAGCACACGGCGAGAGGAAGCCCACCAAGGCTCATCGTAACAGCATTCTTCACGGGTCGCTCGCTCAGCTCGTGAAAAAATGGACACAGAAAGTAGTAGCAGGGCAGGTCTTGCTTTCCCAATGTCACAAAGCCCCTCCAGGTAGGTACAGGCTACTGTTTTCTTTCTGTTCCCAGTGGGCCAGTGATAGTGACAGTGCCGGGGAGACGCCAATTCATGGATTTAGGCACAGACCCATCTGGTTTAATGAATACATCGAGTATAAAGAAGCTATCTGCTATACTTTGCCAGTAGTTCGTTCTCTCTGGGTGATGGGGAGGAAGGTTTTCATTCAGCTTGGGAACTGGGAATAATGTGAACTTCCTCACAGAAGGACCTTATATTGTGGGGTTGAGGTAGGGGAGTTTCGTACTAACGAAGATTGAGGTTTCTTGCCTCTGCGTCTGAGGTGTGTTCAGGGAGAGAAGGTTTTCAAAACAACCCTGGGCTCATCCCTGGTTTAATCTTTGTGAATCTCCTTCCACGGAATCCTGTCCCACTGTTTAGAGAGAAAACAGGGGGTGGCGGGGAAGGTGCACAATTCAGTTTTCCTTTGAATACTGAAGATGGGCATGTTATTAAGACTTTCCTTTTAAAGATTTTAGGAGAGGCTGATGACAGAGCTTTGGGAATCAATATTGGACTGAATATTATTGCAAAATGTTAAGTATATTCCAAAGTTTTAGAAAAGACAGTAGCTCTGGTTAGCCTCCTCTGAGGCTGAAAACAAGAATAGAGATTTAACCAAGCCTTAAAAGCCATTCCTTTGTGCACATGAACGTGAGTGTGTCATTGGCAAAATATATTCAGGTCCATTTCTGGGTTAAAAAGACTGAGAGACACAGGTAAACGCGTCTGTTTGCTTTTATGTTTATTTATCAGTGTAGATCACTGAGAAAGAACTTGGTAGTGACCCCACACCAAGAATAAGAAGACTTGGCTCATTTTTTGTTCCATTTTGTTCATCTAATCACTAGTCAGACAGTGATCTTGGCCACTAACTTTGACTCAGTTTCTTATACATTATAATGAAGACTTTCACTGAAAGATTGTTTTTGAGAAAATAGTCAATCCCCGCCTCCCCCCCCCATTCCTGTCAGTTGAGAACTTCACAGAGAGAGAATTTTCTCACGGCTGAATTTCTGCTTAAACTATACAGCGTGCCCCAGATCGAACTTTCGGAAGTATCTCTCCATGATAACGCCTTACGGGAGGAGGCTGCCTCAGCCCCACCAAGCCGTACCTGGCTGAGGTTTTTGAGGAGGGAGCTGGAATTCCTGGGGGTGAGTGAGCATCTTCCCACATCAACCAGAGTAGAACTGGCTCTACTCTGAGCCAGAGTATTTGGGTGTATGAACAGTTTCCCCACTTGGATTCATGAGGCATGAAAAATCTGGTAGATGAGGAGGCAACATGGGGCCCCGTTGAGTAGAGAGAAGCATTTCCTCATGAAGACTAGGAGAAGAATGGCAAAGAGGATCTGCCAACACTGGTCAGTTGCTGGTGGGTTAATATCACGAATATCAAATTAATAATTGTTGTCTGCACCTCGATGGAAAGAACAATTATTGATGTCTACCATGACTATGTAAATAAAGGCACATGAGAAATGCATTGGCCATCCCTGCATCAGATCATGCCTGTATCCATTCTTAGAGGGGCCTGATGATTCTAGAAAATATTGCATTTGAATTCTGTCTCAGGATGGCTTAAGACACCCAAGCAATTTCTCATGTTTGGCCTTCATCATAAGGACTTTGATGCAGTCTTGAAAATACCTTCTTATTTTACAAAACATATGCATCTTTTTCTACAGGTAACACAAATTCTGATTGCTTTGATATGTCTTTGTTTTGGAATAATCGTCTACTCTGCGATCAATGTTTCCGAATTTAAGGAAGATCTTTTTTCATCATTTAAAGCAGGCTACCCATTCTGGGGAGCAATGTTTGTGAGTAAACATCTACAATTGCCTCTGAGATAACACTGCATGTAGCTTTTCTCTTGCCCACATCAGATCTAACCAACTATTTATTCTAGTATTTAGAGTATATATATATATATATATATATATATATATATATATATATTGCAGTTTACAAAGCACTTGGGGTAAGCACATTAGTACTCTTTTATCAGATGAGAAACCTGAGATTAATAAAAGTGAAATGAATTGCCCAAGGGACATTTAGCTAATAAAAAATAAATCGAAACTTTCAGAATCCAGGGGCGCCTGGGTGACTCAGTTGGTTAAGCGTACGATTTCAGCTCAGCTCGTGATCTCATGGTTCCTGGGTTTGAGCCCTGCATCGGGCTCTGCGTAGACACCTCTGAGCCTGGAGCCTGATTCAGATTGTGTCTCCCAATCTCTCTCTGCATCTTTCCCTCTTATCTCCTCTCTCTCCCAAAAATAGAGATCAACATCAAAATAAATAAATAAACGTTCAGAATCCAATTCCAGGAAAATATCCCTCACACTATTTGTCAGTCAAGTTATCTTCATGACGGCAGGAGGAAGAGACTGAGGAGGTGAGGAGGACAAGGTCAAACAAGGCCAAGGGCATCTGCATCTGATAAACTCATACTATTCCTGGAAACTCTTTTAGGTGCTTTCTCATTGTATCTCCTTTTAAAAAAAATATTTATTTATTTATTTAGAGATAGCACAAGTGGGGGAGAGGGACAGAGAGAGTAAGAGAGAGAATCTGAAGCAGGCTCCATGCTCATGACCCTGGGATCATGCATGACCTGAGCCAACATCAAGAGTCAGCTCAACTGACTGAGCCACCCAGGTATCCGTTCATGACTCTTTTTGAAACTTTGCCATATTTTATTTGACACGTCTCTCTACTGTCCTTCATTCCATACACTTCGCTTATTAGGTGTCTCTCTACCCATCATACACTCTGAACCTTTGAAATTGTTTTGAATTTGTGCTATTGACTTATATTTTCAAGAAATCTTTACCCATGTACATCTTCATAATTACTTTATGTCTACATGACCTATGTGAGACCCAAGATATGCATGCCACAAACACACGCTTCTTGCCCAAAGGGGCTGACACTCTAACACACAAGATGCTCATACAAACAATTACAACAAAATGAGAGCCATTTTACAACAGTCATGTACCAGGTCTGCTGGACCTTGCTACTCCAACAGTAACTCATGGATTGTCAGGATCAGCATCACTCGGGAGCCTGGTAGAAATGAAGAATCTCACGCCCCCTCCAGGACCTACTGGATAAAAATCTGCATTTTGCAACAGACCCATAAATACGGACAACAAACTGGAGGTTGCCAGAGGGGAGGGGTGTTGGAGGATGGTCAAAATGAGTGAAAGGGAGTGAGCAATAAAGACTTCCAGTTATGGAAGGAATCAGTCGTGGAATAAAAGGCACAGCACAGGGAGTATAGTCAGTGGTATTGTAATAGCGTTGTACGGGGACAGATGGTAGCTATCCCTGTGGTGACCAGAGCGTAATGGATTGACTTGTCGAATCACTATGTTGTATGCCTGAAACTAATGTATCATTGTGTGTGTGTCACATATACTTCAATTAAAAAAAGTAATCTGGGAATGCCTGGGTGGCTCAGTCAGTTAAGTGTCCAACTTCGCCTCAGGTCATAATCTCGTGGTCCATGGGTTAGAGTCCCATTGTTAGCACAGAACCCACTTCAGATCCTCTGTCCCCCTCTCTTTGCCCCTTCCCTGCTCTTTCTCTCTCTCAGAAATAAACATTAAAAAATAATAATCTGTATTTTAACAAGACTGTCACATGATTCATATGCACACTTAATTTTGAGAAGCACCCTATAGGACAAAAATGATGAGCTTATGGGAAATATTAATACATAGCTTTATAGAGTACCCACAACTTAACCTTACATTTGGAGGATAGGGGAGAAAGGGGAAGTAAAGACAGACAGAGACTCACTTTATTTCTCCTTTCCTTCCTTTTGAACAGTTTGCTATTTCCGGATTTTTTCCAATTCTGTCTGAAAAGAAATATGCCATATATCTGGTGAGTTGCAATTCTGTCTTTATCCATCCGTGAGAAAATAAGAAAAATGGAATTTTAGGAGTCTTGAGGGAGATGTGCCATCATCTCCCCTATAGTGAGTGAATGTGGATGTGGTTTTTTTTTTTTATCCAATCTACTTTGTGTTGGATATAATCATTAAAAATATAACCATTACAATATCAATCGTCTTCTTAAAAAGACAGTAAAGCATCAGTACCTTGACACTTGTTTTAAGAAATATCTGCCCACTGGGCCTTGTCCTTGTGAGTACAGTCATATGATCAAATGGATGATTTGTTTCTTTTTTTTTTTATTTCCTTTTTTTTTTTTTTAACGTTTATTTGTTATTAAGAGACAGAGAGTGAACAGGGGAGGGGCCGAGAGGGAGGGAGACACAGAATCGGAAGCAGGCTCCTGACTCTGAGCCGTCAACACAGAGCCCGACGCAGGGCTCGAACTCACGAACTGCAAGATCGTGACCTGAGCTGAAGTCGGGGGCTTAACTGACTGAGCCACCCAGGAGCCCCTGATTTGTTTCTGATTAAGGAGACTGCTTGAGGAGAGATGATGTGTGTCCACAAGGGCCTTCCTGACTACAGTCCTAGCAAGAAGGTTATAGATGCTTAGTAAACAATGAGTACACTGCCAAGATTTCCTTTTTCAATTTACATTTGGAACCAAGGCAGAATTTACTGGATGCAACCAGCCGTCAGAATGCAGGGAGGTCTACTGAATGCGCTGGCAGATGGAGGCCCAGGTCTGAGTGTTGTCCTTCATCATCAGGTGTGGGGAAGCCTGGGAGCAAACACCGTCAGCAGCATCGTTGCAGGAATAGGAATCTTCATCCTGACCATCAACTTGACGAGTTGCTGGCCTCATATCTACAACTGCCAGGAAGCTGGTGGAGATGTCTGCTTTGTGGCTTGGTTTTCCACCGTATGTATTTCTCGTGGAAGTGCTAAGATTCTGACTCCCAATCCAAGTAAGAGCTCTCTTTCCCTTTTCCGTGAACCCCATCCTCTGCTGTAACCTCTGGGGTAGTGTTCTGGGGGTGCATGTATGGAGATGCTGGCTGCCGACCCCTTCCCAGCTGAATTCTGTGAGGTTGGAGTCACCTGCCTGGACGACCATCGTGTGGTGTCCCCATGTGTATGTCACTTCATTGGGACTGATCACGTTGAGGGGGTGATGAAATCAGGGGCTGCTATAATGGAGCACATTTTCAGGGCACCTACCTTGTGACTCCACTTGTCTTGTTGGTTATTGTTCAACAGGAGATCGTGGCAATGATCCTGTTTCTCACCGTCCTGGGGTTTTGTAGTGCTGTGTCACTCATGATCTATGGCCTTGGAGAAGTATTCCAGGAAAAGAAGGTAGGTAGAGGCCTGATAATCCTGAATGACAAACTGAAGAATTTGAGCTTCATCTTAAAAGTACGGACTGGATCTCTGGGAACATTTCTTCTAGAAAATTATTTCTTCATGTTTCAGTATTTTGGTTCCCAAATCTCGTATTTTAAATCACATTTTTCCACTTGTAAAAGCCCCAATCTCTGGGTATATCCTCATGACTGAGCATGAGGAAAGTAGAGTTTTCATAATTCTAGAAAAGGCTGTCGGTTGAGCATGAGAGACAAATGTGAAAGTAGCATGTGATGGAACCTCCCAGGTATCTGGGCTTATTTTCTCTTCCAGAATAGGTCCCTCATATGTGTTCCTACTCTCTCTTTTTTCTTGGCTTTCAACTTCTTACTTGCTCTGAAGGCTCAATTTTCTTTCCTTCCTAATTCATGATTACCAACTACATTTCTGCTTGCCTTACCCATCCATTATACCTTTGATGTACGAAAAGGACTCACCAATACTTGCACAAGCACTGACTCAAATCTTCCAGATGATACACACTCCCTTCATCTGTCCATTTGCCAAAGCATTCAAGTCTGGTGGCCTTTTTTTGTTTTGATCACTTGCCTCCAAAGATAAATAAGACAGCAGATACACCAAAGTTCAGACACAGTAGTCTCACCAGCTTGTTATTGACTGATGTAATTTCTCCTGGGCCCACTTGGCCAGCCAGTCTGGCTTGGTTTATTGGAGATGGAAGTAATAATTACAGTGTAATGAGAAAGAGAGTGACACTCAGAAAGTCAAAAGAGATGCGATAGATCTCTCGAACAAGTCGTCTAGTGGTGGAAAATTCCTGGTGATTAATATTAAATCATTTTTCCCTCATCAGATTCCAGAAGATCGTCTTTATGAAGAATTAAACATATATTCGCCAATTTACAGTGAGTTGGAAGACAAAGGGGAGACATCTTCTCCCGCTGATTCATAAGAATTATGTGTTCAGAACATTCTGACTCACAGCAAAAGGTCTAGAAAAAACCAAGATCTTTGTTTAAGGGGCTACCGACAAAATTTCAATTCTCTCTATGGTCTGCCAGTTTTACATTAAGATTTATTCTCCAGATGGTAATACTCTATCTGTTGTTTCTGCTCACCTAGACTCCCCCTGCCTCACCCATTTTTAGATATGATTGACTCCTATTTTTCTTGTTTTCTATTGCTGTCTCGTACCTACTTTTGTGGGAAGTCAACAAATAATCAGTTAGCATTTACTCTGTGCCTATAATGGTGCAAATAGAGGAAACAAGAGGAAGTCTGGTTGAGAGATGAGTTAAACTTTGACAGTTCGGTCATGTTTGGTTCTTAGCCCTTTTCAGAGTTCGTAAGGGCTACAGATGTGCGTGATATATGTCCCCCTACTGGACTGTAAGCACCTAAAGGACAAAGCCCATTCAGCAAATGTATACTGAGGACCAAATAAGTGTTCTAAGTTTTCCACACTTGTCTCTTTCACTTCATGTTTCCCAGTTTCCTATATCATGGGAGCTCAAAGTGTATTTGTGGAGTGGATGGGGGAACATTCTGAGAAGATATACCACTGGGTCAGGTGCCAGGTTGAGTTGCGAAGAAGAAAGAAATTACTTTAAGGTGAATTTGGAGGTGAGAAGGAGGCCAATTGGCAGATAATTAGCAATAGGAGTATAGTCAGATGGAAATTTGAAAAGAATTCTATTCTATTAATCATTTTGGTGGATGTTTATCACATCAGCTTAGCAATGGATGCTTCCTGCTTATGTTTGATCTTATGTGGAGAGTCCAACATGGAATGTTAGAAGGATCACAGATCTTAGAAAACGCATTGGAATCCCAGGCTTATTGCTTATTAGTTGAGTGGGTTGTGGGAAGTTATTTAATTTTTTTTTTTACTTAATCTGGTTTTTCTCATATGTAAAATTAAGACATTAAGAATAACTTACCTGCCAGGATTAAAGGTCTATTGTGGGAACACACACACACACACACACACACACACACACACACACACACTTAAAACTAACTCAAATGGCCCCACTCTCTAATTCCACTTCAATTTTCTCTCTTAAATACACTGTGTTTGACCATCTCGCATCAGCACCCCAACTTGAAATGTTCTGTCATCTCTTCTGTGCTTGCTTGAATTTCTTCTTTCTTCAATCCCTACTTTAAGTCCCTCCTCATTCTTTAAGGTTTTCCAGTCAAAATTGTTCTTTTCTCTAAATGATAATTTTTTTTCAAACCAAATACTCACACACACACACACCTTACACTATATATAACTTCCACATGCAAATATTTTTAATGGTTATTTATTTTGGGGAGAGAGGGAGTGAGAGAGAGAGAGAGTGGAAGGAGTATAGACAGAGGGAGAGAGAGAATTCCAGGCAGGCTCTGCATTGTCAGCACAGAGCCCAACATGGGGCTCAAACTCATGAACCTGAGCAGAAATCAAGAGTCAGATGCTTAACCGACTGAGCCACCACCCAGGTGCCCCTCCATATGCAAATACTTTACATCCCCTTAATGATCATACATTTTTTTCAAAGACACAAAGTCTCACAAAAATCTGTATATTTTCTGAATCATTCATATTTCACATTCACTGACACAATTTTGTTCAATAATGTTTGCAGAATGATGAGTGAGCAGTGGGGAGTTTTACTAGGTTACTCAGTATCTGGTGATATGGAGGGGTAAAAAAACAGGAAAACCATAAATGGAAAGATCATTTAATGAGGAATTTGAAATGGAAGAAGAATAAATGAATGAGGACTTGAGATTAAGTGGAGTCAGTGGGGATGGAGAGAAATGGTCATACCTAAAACATGGAGTGAAAGAGAAATTGGTAGACGTTGTTAACAAGTTGAATTAAAAGACAAGATTTGATAAGCGATTGGTTGATAAACACATTCCGTCACTGGGTCTAAGGTCAAAGGAGAATACCTGGTAAGTGTGTGTGAAACATGGATTGTCAGAAATATGAACTGATGAATCTGATGTAGGAAGTCAGAAATATGAATTGATGAGGGGTGCCTGGGTGGCTTAGTCAGTTAAGTGTTTGACTTTTGATTTTGGCTCAAGTCATGATCTCATGGTTGTGAGATTGAGCCACGAGTTGGGCTCCTCACTGGTGGAGCTTGCTTAGAATTCTCTCTCCCTTGCCCTCTGCCCCTCCCCCACTTATGCTTTCTCTCTCTCTCTCTCCCTCTCACACACAAAAAAGTATGCATTGATGAGGGAGGAGCACCTATAGACCTAAATTAAGCTCAGTCTTAAGATTTTATTTTTAGGAGACAAAAAAGAAATGCAGTAGAGAGAGCCTGATGGCATCTAATACAGAGTTTTGGTCAAAATGAAATTTGGTGTCATTATTGGAGAGATCATTAATGAAGCAGATTAATACTCTGGGGGAATTATTTTGAGATAAAAGGGAAGCCAAGTTAACTTTCACATGCCTATAATCACAGGGGTGATGGGAAGGACAAAATTCTAGGGTAGAAGGTACAAGAATTAGTCAGAAAAGTGCATTGTGGAACAGTAGACAGCAGATAGTTCAAAGTAGAGAGAGGTCAGATAAAGAGAGAATAACTCACCAGCTCAGACAGCATCTGCTGGCAGGGTGAGAGAGAAGTCTACAAGAGATGTCTTGTCCTGGGTGTGGTAGGCAAGAGAGAAGTCTGCCTCCAGGTGAGGCACAGAGATGGGGAGAGCAAGTAGCAATGGTGAATGAATGCCAGAGGTGCAGAGAAATTTGAACCAGGGGCTGGTGGTAAGTGAATAGAACATCTGCAGAAGCATTTAGGAAGAGACAATGCAGGTATATGTGATATGAGAAGAGAATAGATTGCGAATCAAAAATCACAAAGAAAAATAAGCAAAATGATTACATTGCTGTGGATGTTTTTGTTAGTAAGAGGAGGAAAAAATAATTCACATCTTTAGCTTAAGCAGACGAGTCCTGTGGAGGGTCTGAAGAGTCATCTTGGGGCATTATTCACAAGTCATTAATAAAATAATTATGTTTTATATACTTTGCCAAAATTAAAAACTGACAAGGAGAGATTAATTTCCCCAGGCCATAAAAGTGATCACATAACCACACACTTGGTATGCTTAATCTAGCCTTAGAACCTCAGGTTTTCTACTTTCATTTTTCTGAAATAAAATTGTGTTCCTCAAAATTTGATAGCAACATGAAAATATACCCTTTCACTGTGTTGCTCGTTACATTGTATCACCATTCTTGATCACATCGCTTCCATGGCATATATATTCCCATCCAAACTCCAAAGCCTGGTCTACCAGGACCCCTAGAAATGGACTCAGTCCGGGGCGCCTGAGTGGCTCACTCAGTTAAGCATCTGACTCTTGATTTTGACTCAGGTCATGATCTCATGGTTCGTGAGTTCAAACTCTGTGTCAGGCTCTGTGCTGACAGTGTGGAGCCTGCTTGTGATTCTCTCTCTCTCTCTCTCTCTCTCTCTCTCTGCCCTGCCCCTGTTTGCTCTCTATTTCTCAAAATAAATGAAAATAAACTTTAAAAATGCAAAAAAAAAAAAAACGCAAAAAAAGAGAAATGGATCCTTTACAATTGTACATTATCATTCTTTCTCTAACTCAATTCATATTTTAACCTTGTTATTGACTATATATTTCCTGTGTATATGACACAATTTTTGTCTCAAGATCATTCTGATAGTTGTCCTGCCCCCTGCCTGCCTTTTATCATATGCCCACTTCAGGCATACCCTGAGCACACAACTGGCCTTCTTCACACATTCATTGCTTCAAATTATCTTTCTAAGAATTTCAACTTGAAGGTCATCTACTCCATGAAGACTGCCTAATGCACACCTGTTCATCCAGCCTTCATTTTTTGCTTCATAACCACTTCACCCTGTGATGTGGTATGTGATCAATAATTGTTAGTGTACTTGTGATCTTCCTGATGTATCCTCAATTACTAGTATTTGTGCAATAAATTGAAATAATTTCAGTTGACTTCTTATCTGTGTTTGTGTTTGTGTTTGAGGGTGAGGGTCTGACCAAGGATGACAGAGAATCAAAGCACCAATTCAGTTGCCTGGGACCAAGAATAGGATGTGGAGTCCTCTTTTTTTAATCAATGTTTTATCAAATGGAACAATCTATAAATAACCCTATGGACAGAAAACAGTTGTAAGAACAATTGTCAGCCATGTCTTGTCAATAAATGGTGGGATAAAGGGCTAAAGAAATTGTTATCATGAACCTCATTTTGGGGCACCTCGGTGGCTCAGTCGGTTAGGCATCCAACTTTGGTTCAGGTCATGATCTGGCAGTTCATAAGATCGATCCCTGCATCGGGCTCTGTGCTGACAGCTCAGAGCTTGGAGCCTGCTTCAAATTCTGTGTCTCCTTCTCTCTCTGCCCCTGCCCCGCTCACACTCTGTCTCTCTCTCTCTGAAAGATAAGCATTAAAAAAAAATGAATCTCATGTTACAAGTTTGTCCTGACTCTTATTTATTTGCTATGCAATGTGAACTGGGAACAGTCTTTTCCCTTTGTGGACTTCGGGCTCTCCATCTAAAATGAACAGAAAATTGTTGAAAAGGTGACAAAAGATTTCTAACTGATATTTATGTGCTTTTGGAAAATCACAATTATTAAGTTTGTAGTTGGGATGGCAGAAGCAATCAGTGCTATCTGATGCTATTTAACGTGTGTCCTAGCAAGGTGTCTGCAACAATAATATTTGTTCTCAACTCTTCTGACAAAAAGCTCACCTAAGGTTTCTTTCTGAAAATTGTCTTAGAAATAAAATTTCCCAAATTATTCAATTCTATGAGGGTTGGGTTTACCTACAAAAAACACTGATAAAATAAGGTACTGTATCCATAATTTCAGATTTATGTAGAGTGTTGAGGTGAATTTATATATGCAAGAGTGTGAAAGTCCATTGATAATTGCTATGTTTCATGAGTATTCCCCCCCCCCCCCCCCCGGAAGACCTCTACTCACTCCACAAACAGTCAAGTGGGCTCAATTTATGTCTCTCAAACAGCTTCTCTCTGGGATGCCCTGCCTAGGGTTTTGGTGAATGATATCGAGGAACAGGAATTGTTTAGAATGTGAACTTGGGAATATAATACAATCAGAAGCAAATTGCAGTAGCTGCATTAGATACCAACTCTCTGACCTTGGGCAATTTTATCTTAGGTTATTTTTCTTATTTCTTAAATGGGTATATGAAATATAACTATTTCAAATTCATTATGCATGCCCAAAGATCATGTAGCCAAGTGCCTGGAATGGTGAATAGGATATACTGCATTCATAAAGATTGATGCCTAATCTTGAACCCAAAAAGAGACACACCATCCCAACTTCTCAGAAGCCCTTCACAAAATTCACCTGTACCTTGTCACTTCTAGTGGGAGAAAGTAGGTATGGGATCCTGGAAGAGACCAGGGAAGGTAATTATTAGCAGTCTTCACATAGAATATTTCTAACTAAATTGAAATGCATGAAATGTACATTACAGGATGATATTGTCTTAGCCCTAAACCATCAGAGAAGTAGGTGGGGAGACGCTACAGAGAAAAAAATGCTTTCAGATGAGCCTTGGGAGGGCAACTTATAAAAACATTTCTCTTGGGTGATGAGAAATATCTTAACACATACTATTAACCTATTAGGAACGAACTCCTAGGAAAACAGTGCAAAAGTCTCAATCTGAAACAAACACAGGGAAGAGAGGGATGGATAATCAAGGGAGATTCTAGGCTCTAACATTCAGCTGTGGCAAAAAGGTGCCCGGATAGAACAGCTCATTTCCTGTTCTTGTTCTTTGGTGGCCTCAGATAACATTTTGGGTTGGATTCTGGCCCATGCTTCTGTAAGGACTTGGTCACAAGGAAAGATTTAGGCCAGTCAGAAGGAGTGTTGGCAATTAGTCTATGTAAGAAAGTTAGGAACATCTTTTACATGGTGTAGTAGTTTTCAATATTTTTTTGTTTCAAGAAA